GTGCACAGACGTTTAAAAAGCCAGTAGACGGTTTTGGGAGTTGAATGGCCCCTGGGCCCCCGGTCTGCATCCCCAGCCCCTGCCTGTGGCCCTGGGTATTGGTGCCCCTGCCTGGGGTGCCTGGGGACCCGACACAGGAGCCTGTAAAACCGCGAACGTCAATAGATGTCGCCTAACGGGCTTCTAGAGACGCCACCTTGGGGAGCTCCTGCCCCAGCCGGCCGACGCTGACTTCAGTCTCTGCTCACCTGCAGGGTGAGCCGTGGGGGCCGGTTTGTAAACTGCACTTCCTTGAGTTCCATCAGCCACGCTTCCACATACGCACCCCGTTTCTGCACTGTTATTCCTTTAGGCTGTTCGTCTCTTTTATGGATTCAGAAAAGCTCTTTCCATAGGAAGGAAACGGCTTGTTGTGTGTAGGTGCCGCCGTCAGTCGTGCCTTCTGAGTTCACACAACTCGCTTCTAGAAGGTTTCAGCTTGTATGTAGTTAAGCTGCTGTTTTCTTTGTGTCTTTTGACTCATTTGTGTTTTTTGCAGTATTTTATGGTTTTGTATTTTATTTATATATTTAATTCACTGGGATCTTATTTTGATGTCCAGAGGGATGGGACCGATTCTCACTTTATCTCCCCCAAACTTGTGTCTTAGGTGTGGCGGGAGCCTCGGTGTCCTGAGAGGCCTTGTCTGCGGGCTTCGTGTCCCCAGGCCCCTTGGGAGCAGTTCTGACACCTGCGGCCGCGTGCCTAGTGTTTGTACACGTTTGTTGGTGCCACAAAAGCAGCTTCGTGATTTACAGAAAACTAATTGTATTGACTCTTCTGCCAGTTCCGCGACAACAGACAGTGTGTGACATGCGGTAACCGTGTCCTCCCTGGACTCCACGCTGGGGGCCCACGTCACACACGGACAGCAGGCTGCGGCAGAGGCGGGCCGCTGGGCCGGCCACACGCGCCCTTGCCCAGCTCTGCTTACTTTGTACTTGGCCCCCCAAAGGCCGGTGCACCGCAGCAGCGTTCCTCCCGCCGCACACCCACGTCTGGCCCAGGGAAGCCGCGTCTTGCCCGCAGCCCTTCCCGTCGGAGCAGCCCCTCCCTGCGTGTGCGCCCGCACCTCCTCCCCAGGACGCCTGCAGCTGTGGCGTCTGTACCTGAGGGCCGGGAGGCGGCCCAGGGGTGGGTGGGTGGGTCGGGCACCCTGCCTCCTGTGCCTGCAGGGTCAGTGGGTTGGGGTTCGTAAGTATTGTGTTTCGGTTCTGGAGAGTTGCCCCGATCCTTCGGATAAGCATGAGCTGTTTGCTGGGTCCCAGACACCCTGGGCTGGCCAGGCCTCCCGAGCTTTGGCGTTCCGCACCTTCTCCAGTGAGCAGTGCTGCCCCTTTGTCACACGTCAGAGATGCTGCTGGACACCTCCCCCCCAGGGCAGCTGACCCCCCCCCCCCCCGGGCAACTGGACACCTCCCCCTCCCAGGCAGCTCGACACCTCCCCCACCCCCCCAGGGCAGCTGGACACCTCCCCCCACTCCCCTGGGAGCTGGCTGACTGGGGGGTGGGGGAATGAAGGTCAGGCATGCCCAGAACCGTGGCCCTGAAAGAGACTGGGGCCCAGATTTGCACGCGGTACTTTAACCCCTGCTGGACGGAGGGGAGGCCGGCGCTGTGGCGCCCAACCCTGCTTTCTGAGCCTGGTGTTTCTGCTGTCGTGGGTCACGGAGGTGACTGGAGATCCCATCCGCTTACTTCGTCCTGAGCATCAGAATGGGGGCCTCCCGCGCCCACAGCACACTCAGCCCGTCGGCCTTGGCACGTCACGTGTCATCGTGCTCTCCGCGGGGTTCAAGGCAGGCTCCGCCTCTGGGCCTCAGCGTGTCCCTCAGTGAAACGGCGCAGCCGTCGGCAGGGCTTCACGTCTAACCACCGCCTGCACAGGAGGCTGACGGGTGGGGTGGGGGTAACCGTGCGCCAGGGCAGAACTTGGCGACGCTCCGGGGCTGTATCTGAAGCGGGCGCTCCTAGATGGGGCGTGAAGTGGTGCCCCGGGTCGCTGGACCCTGTGGGTGTGTCCCTGTGTAGAACCAGCCTGGCAGTGCCTTGGGGCCACGGCCTGACCGGGATTCCCGTCCACCTGGGAGAGGCGTCCTCGCTCAGAGGGAAGCGGGTGGCCTGTCCTGTGTTGAGCCCAGGGGGTCCCGATGTGGGGCCGCGATAGGGGCTTGGTGCTCGGACTGGAGAGGAGTGAGGGCTTCCGGGGTAGTGGACAGGACCGGCCACCTCTGTCCCCCTGGACATCCTCTGACCCATCTCCGCCCGTTCTCCTGGGGTGTGTCCCCCACGGACTGTGGTGCCAGTGTTCAGTGGGGTCCCCTTTCACAGTTTTTCCGTTGGCTCAGGACCTGGGGGCACTCTGGTGGGCAGACAGCAGTCCCCAGGCCTGGGCGCAGGGGTCACGGCGGCTGCCGGAGAGGGTGAGGTTTGCTGTAAGTGACTGGGGTCGGATGGGGGGCAGCTGGAGGCACTCCACTTCTTCACGGTGTCCCTCCCCTGTGTTTGAGGATGCGTCACAAAGGCTGCACAGAGCCAGGTCCCCCTCCCCTGCCAGCATCTGGGCGCTCCCGAGAGAAGCCCTCCAGGGCGGCCTCCGCTGGGGCAGCGTGGCTGGGGTGGTTGGCCCCTTCTGTCCCCCCTCTCGCCCCCCCCATTCCGAGCTGAGGGTGACTGGGAAGTCACAGGGCCTCGGCTCCCTGGGGACGGAGGGAGGGGCCGGGCGGTGGAGGGAAAAGTAGGTCAGCGCCGGCACGTCCGGCAGCTGGGACGCGAGGCCACATGCAGGCTCTTAGTCTCGGGGAGGGATCGAACCTCCCCGGAGTCTCGGGCTTGAAAACGGGTTTGGTGCCCGTCCCTGAGACGACAGTCTGGTTTCACAGGCCTCCTCCTTCAGACGGGCCTGTGTCGGGATGTGTACTAACAGCAGCAGAGCCTGTGTGAGGTGGAGACAGAGTGGGACACGCGCCCTGAGTGGAGTAGGCCCTGGGCTCCCACCGCCGGGGCCCTGGGGAGGCCAGTTAAGGCCAAGGCGATGGAGCCGGCCCGGGGGCTGCTCTCTTTTCAGAGCAGGGGGAGGCAGAGAGCCTGTCGGCAGCGCTCGGAGTCTGCTGGCCCGGCGCCCTCCCGGCCCGTGTTCCCACGCGCCGCAGCCCTGACGTGGGCCGGAGGCGGGCTCGGCTCTGCCCTGGAGCCTGGCAGCGGTGCTCGCCACAGCCCCCAGGTCCGGCCGGGCTCCGGTGCGATACGCCCACGGCAGCTCTGCCCTTCCCCTGGTCAGGAGACTTCTGGAAGGGTGGCCATGATCTCTCGGGCTTTGTGTCGTAAATGTACAGATCGTGCCGGTTACCCTGCCCCCCCCCCGTCCACTGGAGGATGGTGAGAGGGCCTCCTCTGGTGGGTGTCCTGCCGCCCGGGCGTGCCCCGGCCCGGTCCCCACGTCCTGCCCTTGGAGAAGGAAGGGCTGGAGAGGGGGTCCCGGCACCGCCTGACATGCCAGCAGGCCCATCCTCAGGGCCACAGGGGCTTCTGCCGACACGGGCGGCTGCCTCTGTCCAGCTGGGAGCCCGTGTCTGGTCAGCGTGGCACAGGCCCCGGTGGCGGCAGCTTTGGCCTCCCCTCCCCCTCCCCTCATGCACCTTTGAGGGCGGGGGCTCCTCTGTCTTGCCCCCGTCCCGTCCGCCTGGCACGGAGGAGGGGGCCTCGCTGGGGTCAGCAAGCCAGACCCAGGAAGCCCCGGGTCCTGCAGCCAGGGCCGCGTGTGACTTCTGGGCTCTGTGAGGCTTCAGCGCTGTCCCGGTCCTGTGTCTCCGGGACCCTCCAGGACGGTGGTCCCTAGGGTGCTGGCCTGGTGGGCTCAGCTGTGCCGCTGCTTTCTGGCCCCGCTCATAGTTCCCGTGAGCAGTTCCTCTGAGCCCGGGTTCTCTGCTCTGTGAAACAGGGCTGGTTCGTAGGGTCCCCGCCAGGGACGTGCCCTGAACACCAGCAGGGTTGTCCAGGTAGTCAGTGAACAGGGTCACGGCCCTGTCCCCTTCCATCGTGGGCCCCGGTGACTCCGGCTGGCTCTGCAGCTCCGGGGCCGTGGGCAGGTGAGCTTCCCGCCTGGCTGGGGGCGGCAGCGCGGCACTCTGCGTTGCTCCCGGGAAGGAGGCCGTGCAGGTGGCTGGGGGGCCGGAGCAGACACCGCACCCGGGCCGCCCGGATCCCGAGCGTTTATTCCCTCGTGGTGCAGAGGTTGGGATCGTGGGGGGGGGGGGGCACCCCCTGGGGCCCTGGTCCTGGGCACACCGACGGCCACCTTCCCTGAGTCCTCTCGTCCCTGTGCCGGCTGTGTCCTGATCTCTCAGGGGTCACCAGTCACGTTGGGCGGGGGCCACCCTACTTCTACCTCAGTCACCTCGTTAAAAGACGTGTCTTCAAATACAGGTGTGCTCTGAGGTCCTGGGGTTAGGAGTTGAGCCCGTGCATTTGGGGGCCACCGTAGTCCACAGAACGGGGAGGTGCAGGCCCCATGGGGCACGACGGCGAGGCCACCCGCTGCCCAGGCCGGGAGGCGTCACCATGTGGTGGGACAGCGGGCGGGCCCGTTGCTGGGGGAGCAGGAGAGGGGACGGGAGGGGACAGCCAGCCCCCAGAGGAGGCGCTGTGTGAAGAGAAGCGGGTTTTCATCACTTTGGCGGGTGGATTTGGTGATAAGATGCAGGACCACCTCTCGCTTAGACCCAGTTCCCCCGAGACCTCTTGGCTTTGGGCAGCACCTGTGCAAATGGTGGCCGGTGGGGCCCGTGCTTCTGCCCGGCCGGAAAGCGCACGTCTCCTCGTGAGCTGTGTGGCCTCCCTGGGACCCTTCCGGAGGCCGCCCTGGAGTCGGGGCGGGAGGGCTTGCTGGGGAGGCCCGCCCAGGGGCCTTGAGGGGCACGGGTGCAGGGCTCCACTCACCCACCCCTGTGCTCTGTCCCCAGGTGCGGACACCCGGGCCATTTTGCCCAAGAAGGAGAAATTGAAGCTGAGGCGTGAGAGGTGGCTGCAGAGTAAGTGTATCCCTCGTCTCCCGGCTCTGTCCTCTCTGACCCCCGCCCCCCCGACCTCCTCGTCGCCCCGACCTCCTCGTCCCCCCCGTCGTCCTCGTCCCCCCGACCTCCTCGTCCCCCCCCGACCTCCTCGTCCCCCCCGACCTCCCTGACTTCCAAGTCCTCCCTGTTCTCTGTCCTCCCCTTTCCCCGTCCTCCCTGACCCCCTCCCCCGCCCTCCCCGTCCCCCCCATGCCTGCTGCTCTGGGCTCCTCGCGGGGTCGGCGTGTCAGCACGCACGTGACCCTGCTTGTCATGAGTGTGTCACTGCAGAACCGCTCAGCGTGTCCATGAGGTCACCTTCCTGCTGGCGGTGACCTCCGGACCCTTCTCTGGGCCGGGATGGCGCAGTCCTTCTGTCCGAGGCCCCCGCCGGCCGCCGCGCCATGCCCGGTGCCCCTCTTCCCTGCAGTCTTCTTTGGAAAACGGGGTTCTTATGATGCTGGAAACTCGCTGATGGTTTTGTGAAGAGTTTCTTGTGAGGATTGTTGTGTAATTTTTTTTATTCACATTTTAGTGTGATTCTGGTTGACTTTTAAAAATAACTTGTAACATTCTGTATATTTTCTCACGGTTAAAACTATTTTTTTCCTCGAAGGTATTTTTTGTTTATTTTGAGCGGGAGAGAGAGAGAGAGAGAGAGAACGAGAGCACAGCTGCGCGCACACGTGCGGGGGACGGGCAGAGAGAGTCCCAAGCAGGCTGTGTGCTGTCAGTGCGGATCCTGAAGTGGGCCTTGAACCGCTGACCCTGGGGTCATGACCTGGGCCAAAATCAAGAGTTGGACGCTCAACAGATTGAGCCACTAAGGCGCCCTCCTTGAAGATTTTAAAGAAAAAGTACATTTTAAATTTTCTAGAGAAACTTGTCAGTTTCTGATTATTTTTTGTCACTTTGCAGATGTTCTTAAGGAAGTGTTTCAGTCATTGATACTGTTTGTCACAGCCCCTGGCATGGAGACGGACACTCCGTGGGCTAGGTTTGGAAAGCTGGCAGACGGTGCCCCGGGGCGCCGCACGGGTCTGGGCTACAGCGTTTAGAGGACGTTTAAGATGTTTTTCCCGTGCTGGCTGCTCTCTTTGTCTCGCTGCTTGAGTCCGTCTTGGCCACGCGTACTTTCCCGTAAAGTCCGCTCTTACCAGCTCTCTGCCCTCGCTGCAGAGGGCTGCCGGCCTCTCCTCGCCACACCTCTGCGCTTGCACCCCCGCCTTCAGCCTCCGTCCCGGCCGTGTCCACCTGCTACTTCTGCTTTTCCGTGTCCGAATTTCTTCGTTTCTGTTGTTTGAACACACTGTTCTTGCTTTCTCAGGGTTTGGGTTACTGAGCTCGTGTGTGTTACAGTCGTGTGTAGGAACGGGGACCGTGCTAGCCGGGGTTAGTGTTCTCTCATGAGCTGGGGTGTCCCGGGAGATCTGATGCCACCCACCTGGACCTGACATGCACACTGTCCGTCTGTCCGCCGCCTTCGTCTGACGTTTTCTCCCGGACGGTTCCGCTGCGGCGCAGCATCTGTTGACGGTTGTTTTTCATTTTTGTTTTGAGGTGATGTTGGGCACGAAGCGCCAGTCGGGGATTTGTCACCGGTGCACACACGTGTGTAACCGGGGTCCCTTTAAGACCCACGCGCCTTCCCACGCAGTCCCCTTGTCCCCCATTGTCGACTGCCCGCAGGTGACCACTGTCTCCTCTCTCGAACCTCCCTAGATTGTACTGCTCAGGCCGTCGCACAAGTGGAATCTTGTTCGATGAACTCTTCGCGTCTGGGTTTCTCTGCTTCACGTGGTGTTGCACGTCCTCTCTGCCGCGCGTAGCTGTGGCCGCGCCCTTCTGTCGCGGAGGAGGATTTCTTTATCTGGACGTGCCGTTTGCTACCCACTTCCCTACTGATGGGCAGCTGGTCTTTTTTTCTCTTTTTAGCTGCTGTGAAAAAGGCGGTGAACATTCTCCACAGGCCTCTTTGTGGAGTGTGTTTGCACTTCTCTGGGATGAGTAGTTGGGAATGGGACGCAGGGTCACGGGGCGAGTGTATGCTTAGCCTTATAAGCAACTGCCAGACGTTTCTCCCGAGTGGCTGGACCATTACACCCTCACTGGCCACACCACACCCCTGCCGGCGCACAGTGGCCTGCGTCTCCGGGCAGGGCAGGGTGGCAGCCGCGCCTGTGGTACTGGCTCTCATTACCACAGGCCACACCCGGCTTCCACAGCGTCTCCAGTCATGTGGTTTCGTGAGGCCCTGTGCCTCCTGTTCCTGAGCTCCAGCCCTGGGTCAAGTGCACGTGTCGCAGATTTTCTTCCAGACTGTGACTTTCCTATTCATTTTCTTAACAATTTAAGTTTGTTGATTTATTTTGAGAGAGAGAGAGACAGCACAGGTTGGGAAGGGGCAGGGAGAGAGAGAGAATGAATCCCAGACAGGCTCCACATTGCTCAAACCCACGAACCGTGAGACCTTAGTCAGATGCTTAACTGACTGAGCCACCCAGGCGCCCCAAGTAAAAAAAAAAAATATTTTAGAGAGATAGCATATACACGAGGAGCAGAGAGAGAGAATCTCAAGCAGGCCCCACACTCAGTGCGAAGCTCAGTCCCACGACCCTGGGGTCGTGACCCGAGCCAAAATCAAGAGTCAGATGCTCAACTGACTGAGCCGCCCAGGCGCCTCATCAGGCTAGTTTTAAATTAAACTATTTAGGATGAAGGCATGTTAGTCTCCGGGAACCTTCCAGAGCCCCCAGCCAAGGGGGAGGGGGAGGGGCAGGAGGAGCTCCCCCCTCTCCCCAGAAGCACTCAGAACTTGCTGCTCTAGACCACACAGTTGGTAGAATGGACCTTTCCTTGTCCGTCTTTGCTTACAAGCGGGCTGGCCGTGAGATCGCCCCTGGGGACAAGCGCTGTGTGTGGTCTGTGAGGTCCCAGCACAGGGTTTACTTGGAACAAAGATGGTGGGGGAGCCTGTGAGTGGAGGGGAGGCCCCTACCTACCTGGCCTGCAGGGAAGAGGGGGCCTTCAGTGCCAGAAGAGGGTGTGGCAGGGTCTGGACCTCGGGGGACACTCCAAGCAGGCACCTCTGCCCCCCTCCCTCTGTGCCCATCTCCAGCTCTGAGGCGTGAGCGGCTCTGGGGCTCAGTGCAGAATCGGGGGAGAGCCGGCTGGGTGGGGACCGTGGCGATGGTGGTGAAGTCACCCCGCCGAGAGCTGTCTCCCTGGGGTGCCTGTGCTGAGCCCATTGGCACAGAACTGACACCCCCTTAAATTCACCTTTCTTACCCCCTGCGCCCCCAGGCTGTAATGAACGGGCACTTAGATCTGAGGATAGGTAATGTTTCAGTCCCACTTAGAAAAGTTCCAGAACTGTTCAGGGAACAGGGAGAAAGCTGAAGACCTCGTTCACAGAACTGGAAGCAGCTTTAGGCTCTGAGCTGTCAGCACAGAGCCTGACGCGGGGCTTGAACCCACGAACCATGAGATCATGACCTGAGCTGCAGTTGGACGCTTAACAAACTGAGCCCCCAGGAGGCTCCGCGTAGTAAATTCTCTCACCTCCTTGTGGAGTTTCTTGTGATGGTGGCCTTTCTGTGGACACAGACCCCTGCAGCCCTGACAGATGTCCCTGTGATGCGCTGTCCTTGGGTGCCTCGGACACACTCCAGCTACATAGCACGTGTTACTCATTTAGAGCGCTTCCAGCTTGGATTGGCCAACACGTGTGAGGCTGTGTGCAGGGGTCCCCCCGGAGCCCTTGGTCCCCGCCCGCTGTCCTGGGACGCTCCCCTCTCGGGGAAGAGGCGCTTGGTACCCTCTCTGGGCAGCATGGGGAGCCCTGACGTGGCCTCCCGTGAACCCCTACAGTTCGGGGCATTGAGGGCGGCTCGGTGCACGACGGGGTCTGCAGGTGGAGCCGTCCTTGTCCCCTGGGGCCTCCGGGACCTGGTTGGGGCAGCTTGTGTGTCTCTGACGTTGGAGGAGGCGGGGTGGGCTCTTCAGGGCCGGCCCTGGGCAGCCTAGGGGCCTGGGTGGGCGTGCTGCCCTAGCGCCGGGCTCCTGTCTCTGGGGCCTCCCTCGGGGCTTCTCCCAGGTAGCCAAGGGCTCGCAGCTTCTGCCAGCTCCTCCCGCGGGGCCTTCTCCGACCTCACGCTACCAACTCCCCTACGTGGGGACCCTCCCTCCTGGTCCCAGGAGGCACTTGGGGAGCGCGGGAGACCTAGGTGACTCGCTGTTTAAATCCTCGTCCGTTTGCCCACTTCTCGCCGCGCGCCCTGCCCCTGCTCCCCGTGCGCAGCGGCCACCGCGCTAGGGTCCCTTTTCAGAACGGGAGCACCTCCATGCCTGTGGCTCGGTCTCGTCACTCTGCCTTTAGGAAGTGCGCCTCCGTGGCGGGGTGCCGCCTGCCCCGGCGCCCAGGGCGCTTCGTGCCCTGCTGGTCTTGCTCACCCTGTCCCCCCTTCCGCAGAGATCGAGGCCATAAAGCTGGCGGAGCAGAAGCGCAAGGCAGAGCGGAGGCGGAGGGCCACGGTGGTGGTGGGGGACCTGCAGCCCCTGAAGGACGCCCTCCCCGAGCTGCTGGAGCTGGAGGCCTGCGGACGGCCGCCGCGATCCGCTGGGTGAGTGTCGCGTGTGGCGGCCTCGGGACCTCGGGGCTGGGAGTCAGGCCGGGTCCGGAGCGGGAGAAGAGTCGGCGGAGGAGGCGCAGGCAGGCAGGGCCGCAGAGGTGCCTGACCCCGCTGTCGGTGCAGCAGCCTCGCTTCCCGGGACTGAGCCGCGGGGTCGGCAGGCGGTGGGGCCTCCCTCGGGCGCCATGTCGCCAGGAGGGCTGCTGCGTGGCGGTCCTTACGGTGGCGCCGCCGGGCTCCGTTCCTGTGTGCCCACTGCCGCGCTCCCTGGGACGCAGCCTGGCACCCCGTCCCGGACACCCATCCTGCTCTGTGCCTGCTGCGTGCACTTTGGAGAAGCCAGTCCCTCTGCCGTCCCCTCCCCCTCGGGGGCTTGGGGGTGGGGGCGTCAGGCCGGTGCTCAGGGCCACTCGGCTGCGGAGCTGGAAGATCCCCGGCCAGCCCCTGGTGGAAACACCTCGAACATCTGGTCTGGCACGGAGCCGGGAGTGGTCGTCACAGCCACAGCCTGGGCCGCAGACTCCACCCCGGTTCTTCCCCGGCACGTGCCCTTCCCCTGCGTGCACTTGTCTCACCTGAAGCGCGTGCTCGCCCCGGGCGGGAGCCGCCTGGGCCGCTGTGGCCGACTGTTCCCGCTCTCTGGGTGTGGGAAGGTCCCCAGCTGGCCTGGGGTCACTGTCCCTCCTCACGTGTGTCTTGGCCCCAGGGAATTGTGTGTTTGTTTGAATAGATGTTATTTTGAAACAGTTTGGAATTGCCGAGTAGCGGTAAGAGGAGATGCAGAGACTTCCCACGCCCCTCACACCCAGCGTTCTGCTTTATAGCTTCTTCCCCGGTGCCTCGGAGCCAATATTGATACATAAATGATGCATTTAAAGTAGTCATGGAATAAACCCCATACTTTACGTTCAGGTTTCCTCAGTTTCCCCTGATGTCCTTCTTCTGCCCCGGCCCCCGTCCAGGATGCCATGTGACCTTGATCACGTCCCTCTGCGTCTCCTCTGGGCTGTGAGCTTCCCCCATGGCCCTGGCAGCGTTGAGGAGGGCGAGTCGGGGACCTGGGGGGTGTCCCCCGGTGGGAGTAGCCTGATGGCTTCTCATGGCTGGACTGGGGTCCCGGCTCGGTGGGTGGGGGACGTGCCCGTCTCTCCCATGCGGCCCGGGTGGGTGCCGTCAGCGTGGCCTGTCACCGCTGATGCTGGCCCTGGTCACCTGGTGGAGGTGTGTCTGCCGGGTGCCCCCCCACGTGACCCCTTCCCCTCCCCGCACCGTCCCCTGTGGAAGGGGGTCGCCGTGCAGAGCCCACACCTGAGGAGTGGGGAGGTGGGCTCGGCCCCCCAAGGACGGAGCGGCCGTGTAGACAATGTGGGCTTCTCCTTCGGAGGAGAGTAAATACAGCTTACGTGTCAGGGTGCCCCTGGATCATTTACGGATGTCAGTCTGGACGCGCGCGTCTTTTTATTTTACACCGGCTAGAATCCAATACGACTTCCTCTTGCCGGGGCTGATCCTGCTCTGGCCACTGGGCGCGCCCTCAGGTGGCCCCTGGGTCCCTCTGATGTGCCCATCAGGGAGGCGTTGTGTTGTGTGTGAGCCAGTCCTTCCCGTCTGGGTCCCCACGTGCTTCAGGCTCACCCAGGCGTTTCTTGCCCTTCCCTATAATCACCTTTCTACAGGGACCTCAGTCCGTCTTGCTGTGCACGCCTCAGTGTGTTCCTGTGAAGTTATGGGGACAGTTGATAGACTTTCTTTTTGTTTCTTAATCGCCACGTGCATCTTGGGGCTTAAACCCATACCCCCAAGATCAAGGTTTGTACACTCCACGACTGAGCCAGCCAGGCACCCTGAGGCCATCCTCACTCCTAACTCTGGCTCCAAGTCGGTAGGGGGCCCAGGACCACTCTTAGGCTCAGTAATTCCCTGGGGCTCAGAGCTCCCCGAAGGCTGTTGGGTCCCTGTTCCTGGCTTGTCATGGCGAAAGGCTGAGATCAGCCAAGGGAGACGCGGGGGTCAGGCCTCAGGAGGGTTCTATGCGCCTCTCCCGAGGGGGCGGGAGGAGGGCACCACCCAGGGTGCAGGTGACGGTACTCACCACAGTGTGCTCCCCACCCCCGGCGGCTGTGAGCATCTCCTTGGGTCCCTGTACCCGCTTCCCACCCGCTGTGCCCGCCCAGGAGCCCCCAGCCCCATCCCTCCAAGGGCGGGCCAGCCCTTCAGCGTTGAGCTTCCCCGCCTTCCCCGGGGCCGGCTTCCTCGGAGCCAGGGAGGAGGCCGAGCTGTTGGGGATAGGACCCGACCCCCACCCCCCCACCCCAGAGCGAGTGGACGGCGCAGATGGTCTGGGACTGCTGTTGTGTGTGGGATGGCCTTGGGGCCCTGGGCACCCAGACCTGAATGCAGGGCTCCCCAGGCACCCACCGGGACACTGGGAGCTTGTTCCACATCCGTGACGTAGCTTCATGGTGATGGCGGCAGGGAGCCCAGGGCCCTGGGCTGTTGGCGCACAGCTGCACGTGCTGTGTCCCCGCCTCTGTCCGCCTGGGCGCGGCACCAGGCTCCGGATATGAGCCGGCACGCCGACAGTCGTGCTGCTCATTGGGGGACAGTTAGCTTCTCTAGAAGTCGGTCCTCTGGGCACGAGTGTTAGGCAAACAAAGGCCGTGTTTTCCTTTGTGAGGAACCGGGATGGGAGGCCCCATGCAATTGAGCCACCAGGCCAGCGGACATAGGGGTGAGACCAACCGCTGTGTGGTCCTGGTGGCCTTGGCCACGGCACCCACTGCCCCCCCCCCCGCCCCAGGAGCTGCTTACTGGGCTCCCGCCATGCCAGGTGGGGGCCTCCCAGATGTGTCTACACTGACGGGGAGGGTGTGCAGACCTCAGTGGATTTCACCATTTTCTAGATGGTAGGGGAGGGGGTTGCTGGGGGGTGGCGCCCACCGCCTGGGATGCCTGCAGGCGCCCAGGTGGACACGGTGAGCAGCGAGAGGAGCAGAGCCGCTGTGGCCTGGGGCTGAGGGGGACTCGGAGTCGGGACGCACGTGGCCACCTTGGCAGGCCTGCCTGAGGGTGGGCACCCGAGTCAGCAAGCAGGTGAGGAGAGGCGGGCGCAGGTGCTGACTTGGGCCCAGGAGACGGGTCTTTCGTTCATATTTTATCTGAAAACATGAATAAAGGATGAGGCCTCCTGGTCTGGAGACTAAATTCAGGTGTTGGCTCAGAGCTCTGGTTTTCTCGCCCTTCCTGCTGCTGGCCGTGTAGACATGGCTCTCGGTGCCGGCTCCCCAGGGAGGTGGGCTGTGCTGGGTCCTGCGGGGACCCCCACGGTGGGGGGGTGCGGCCCCGTGCTGACCTCTCTGTGTCCCCAGCAGGGTGAGCCGGGTGAGCGCCACGCAGAGGCTGCAGCTGCTGTGAGTAGGGCCCGCCTCCAGATTGGGCTCCCCCGCCTCCACCCCGTCTCCTCTCGCCCCGCCCCCGGTGCTATCCAGCGTCCCGCCATGTGACCCCAAGCCTGGTTCCCTCGGGTGTCGTGGGCAGCTTGGCCGCAGCTCCTCTCATGGGCGTGCGGCAGCCTGTTCCTAGCTGGGTGGGAGAGCCCCCCTCTGCGGGCAGCAGGGGGAGTGGAAGTTTCCAGACCAGCGCTGCCAGCTCTCAGGGGTCCCCCTTGGGGTCCAAAGCCCCCGGCCATCCCAGGCATCTTGGGAGCAGATACCTGCTCGGGCAGTGGGCCCAGTGGGTTGGGTCTCCCTGTGGACAGCCAGGCGGGCACCTCGAGGTGGGGCCTTTCCCGCCCTGCCTCCGCCCTGCCCAGGCTGCCTCTGGAACTGCCATCCTGAGGCTGCAGACCTGGTCCCGAGTTTCCGTGCAGAGGTGTCGTCCCCCAGGGGCGCTCAGCAGACTCGAGCTGGCCCTGGTGCGTCTGAGAGGGGCTGGCTGGGCTCAGGACTGGCCAGCACCGTGGACTCTAGGGGCTCAGGACCTCCCCCTGGAGGAAGCCTTCCTATCTCCCATCCCGCCTTCCGCCACAGCGCCCCTGTGAGAGAAGGGCCGGTCTCGGGCGGCGGGACTCGGAGGTCTGGTTGTGCAGGGCTGGAGGGAGGGGCAGGGCCCCTCTTCTGTGAGGCGGCTCCGCTCCCCACGTCTGTGGCTGGGATGGGGGCCCAGAGCCCTCTCCTGGGGGAGGGGCCGGTGTCCCAAGCCCGTGGGTGCGTGTCACCCCTCATACTGCCACTCCCCTGCCCACCTCCCCGTGGTGACCCGTAGGCCCCAGGTGCTCTGTCCCGTCACCCCGGGCCTGGCCTACCCACCCCAGTGTCCAGCCCTCCCCGCTCCCCGAGGTGCCTGGGTGTGGGGTGGCTGAGGGGAGGCGGTGCTGACACCTGAGGCGTGGGGGGCAGTTTGCTGACCTGCTCTGATCTCCATTCTTCCAGGGAGGAAGAAGAGGCCCGGTTTCGGGAGCTGCTGGCCAATCCGTCCTATAGGGCCAGCCCCCTGCTGGTCATCAGACAGCAGCTGGCCCGGCAGATGGGGCCGGATGGCGGTGGCCAGCTGTGACCCGGCCCGGAGGCGTGCCATGGGCCCCGAGGGTCCGCCCCTGCGTCGCCGCCCTGGGCCTGGCAGGCGGGCCCCACCGTGCGGACGATCGTGGCATGCTCTCTGGCAGCGGGCCTGCGGGCCCTCAGCTCGACCGAGCACCCAGCAGGCGTGAGGACCCCGAGCCGCAGGCGCGAGGACCCCGAGCGGCTCTACAGCCCGAGACGTGGCCACGTCACTCCTTCTGGTTGCCAGGGCTCAGCTGGAACCTCTCCTGCCTGCCGCTCTCCTGGCCCTGTCCCCACCGTGCCTCCCTTTGGCCCTGAGCCCAGGTTGGTCCCCTCCACCTGCCCGTGCGGTACGGGGCACAGGGCCACTGCCGTCCGCACGGCTGACCTGGGAGCACGATGAGTGTTTATTGCTAGAAGCCCAGGCTTTGGAGGCCAGACTGTGGGAACTTGGACGTAAACCCCGGATGGGAGGATGTGGAAGGAGCGCTTTTCCCAGCCAGAGGCCCTGAGCTCGTCCGGGGAGTGGGCTGTGCGGGGCCTTCGTGGCCACGGCCTGCGGGCTCAGCTGTGCTGGACACCCGCAGAGGCAGCTCTGCGCCCAGGGCAGGGCCTGGATACCCGTGCCCCTCACGGGCTGTGCTATGGTGGGTGGGCAAGCAGCCTTGCGGTGCCGCCTCAGTGCGTCTGGGCGCCAGGCATTCTGGGCTTTGAGGCTGAGCCAGCATGAACCCCAGATATGTCCCCGGCCTCACGATTCACAGATGCCTGAGCGGCGTCCAGCAAGTCTGCCCGGGAACGGGTGGCTGAATGGAATGGGATCCTGGGCCCTTCTCTGCATGGGAGCACACGGTGTGGACACATTGCGGGGACTGGACACAGAAAGGGACAGATGAGACCACAGGGGCTGCACGCGGGAGTCCGAGTCCCCCAGCCAGAGGTCAGCACTGCCACCTCCCCGGGACCGCCCGGCCCTCTGGGACGGAGGGTGCGGTCTTGTTCTCCGCACAGAGCCCGCTGCTGCGTAACTGAGATGAGTTGCCTACAAAGTGGTGTTTGTGACAGACTCGTTTTTGCAATAAAATAAGTGCTGGGAAAAACAGAGTGCAGCCCTGGCTGCCCCCGGAAGATTGGGCGATGCCTGGCGTTTCCCCCTCACGTTTTCCCAATTGTCTGGAGTTTGATGATGTGTTACCTAAAGAGAAAATGTCCGTCCTGGCCCTGTAGCAAGTCTGGTCTGACCACAGCTGGGGGTGCTCACCCCCTCATCCCCTACCACCACCCCCCCTACCCGGGGCCGGTCAGAGCACGCGCTGCGGGTAAGGGAGAGGCCAGAGGGAGGCTGGGCTCCTTGTGAGGAGGTGACGTCCATGTGCTGCCCTGTCCGTGGGCCTCAGAACTCCCCCTGGGAAATGGGCTGAGAAACCTCAGATGTGCAGGGACATCACCCCCAGAGCAGAGTACGGGACCCCAAAGTCGGCCTCTGCTCAGATGACCTGGGCTCGTGGGGTTGGAAACGGGAGCCCCAGGCCTGCGCACGCCCCCCTCTGGCGCACCGCGGGCCCCACAGAGCGGGCGGTGTCCCTACTCCAGGGCCCGTTGTCGAGGCGCGCAGCACCAGTGTGGGGAGGGGACAGAACCTGCGGCTGCAGGCACGGCGAGCCCGCTGCAGGCCTGGGCCCTGCCTGAGTCCGAGGGCCCGTCTCTGAGCCCCCGACTGTCCCTTTTCCCTGTGGGCCCTGCCTGCCCTCCCGCCAGGCTCACCTCTGAAGGTCTCCTGGTAAGGAGGCCACGGGACCGTTATCTCCCCTGGCCTGCGGCCAGAAATCTGCAAGTCCCCCTTTTCCCTCCCGTGACCCCCTGCATCTGCCTTCCCTCCTAACCCCCCCTCCCCTCCCGTTGCTGCACATGCTGCCCCATTCTTTTGGTGGATGCGTGTATCAGTTATCAGCTGCCGCAATCGCTGAGTAACACGCATTCCCCGGGCGTGCAGTCATGTTTTCCCCAGGGGTCTGGGCCAGGCTGGGCTCCTGCCTGAGGCACCCTCCTGTTTATTTCCTGGGTAGTGGACCACCAGACAGGGGACTTCGAGCACCAGAAGTGTATTCTTTCGGGTCGGTGCTGGTGGGGCCACGCTGCCTCCAGAGGCCTCCACGTGGGGGGAGTCTGTGGCCTTTTCCTGCGTCAGCAGTTTGCCGGTGACTGGCGCCCCTTGGCCGGTGGCTGCGTCACTCCTGTCCTTGCCCTCACACACACCAGTGTGGTGTCAGCTTAACTGACTCCGTGCAAAGATTCCTTTTCCCGGTACAGCCACGTTCTGAGGTCCTGGGAAGACGTGAGTCCGTGGAGACACACTTGGTCAGGGGGCCGATCTGGGCGCCAGGCTTCCCAGAAACCCCCAGGTGAAAGGAAGGTGCAGGGCCAGAATCGACCACCGCGTGTGGGGTGGGGGGAGCACTGGGCCTGGGGGGCGTGACATGGGCGAGGGGACAGCAGAGCTCTGGGGCTGGGCTTCTTGACTGGTGGAGAGGGTCCCCCCACCCCGCGCTCCCTGCCCTGTGCTTCCCTCGTGTTCTCTGCTTGCTGTCCCTGGGATCACACTCCAGGACAGCGTTTGCCCTGACCGCTTGGGTCAGCCGTGCCCGGGGCTGCGCGCCTGGTGGGGGCAGGATGGGGTGGGCCTGTGTGGGCCCAGGTGACCAAGCCCAGCACCTCCACACGGTGTCCAGCAGGGGGAGGGCTCCCCGGGAGCCCTACCCAGAAGTGCCCGCAGCACATCCCCTCCGTGTCCCTCACCGTACCTTCTCTGCTCCTGCTGGCCTGCTCCCTGGGGCGGGCAGGTGAGGGGGAAGCGGTCGGTGTGTGTGCCCTCAGGGCCTGTGAGAGCGCTGCAGGCAGGCGGGCGGCCGTCAGGGCTGGTTCCCATTCCCGTAGTCCTCTCTGGGACATGGATTGCCAGACAGCAGATGGTGGGGCCCCGTGTGCAGGGAGTGCATCAGGATGGGCCCGGGGCCCCGTGTGCAGGGAGTGCATCAGGATGGGCCCGGGGCCCCGTGTGCAGGGAGTGCATCAGGATGGGCCCGGGGCCCCGTGTGCAGGAGAATGTCAGGATGGGCCAGGGGGCCTGTGTGCAGGGAGTGTCAGGATGGGCCCGGGGCCCCGTGTGCAGGAGAATGTCAGGATGGGCCAGGGGGCCTGTGTGCAGGGAGTGTCAGGATGGGCCCGGGGCCCCGTGTGCAGGAGAATGTCAGGATGGGCCAGGGGGCCCCGTGTGCAGGGAGTGTCAGGATGGGCCCGGGGCCCCGTGTGCAGGAGAATGTCAGGATGGGCCAGGGGGCCTGTGTGCAGGGACCGCGTCAAGGGGCCCAGGTCTGGCCCCAGGCAGTCACTGACTCATGAGCTGACGTGGGCCTCGAGGCCTCTCTGTCACTGCGTGCAGACGCAGGCTCTGGTCGGTGGTGCTTCGGGGCCTTTGTCTTGGGCACAGAAGGGCGTCAGTGCTGGCAGCCTCCGCCGGGCGGTGAGTCAGGCGCCGGCGGCCATGCCTGTCAGGGCCCCTGCTGCCTGGAAGTCAGGTGTTGAGCAGAGTGCTTTGGGAATGTTTGTGCAGCCATAGCACCCGTGATGGCCGCCTGGCTGATGTCATTGTGCTGAGATGTTGGTGCCCAGCCCCGATTGGCCCTAGTGGGTCGTGGCAGCCACCCCGTGAGCTGGGTTTCCCCGGGTGCTGCCATCGGAGCGCGTCTCCAGGATGTCGGGAGAGCTCGCCGGCGCGCGGAGATAGCAAGACGCCAGCCTTCCGGCCCTTTCCCTGATGTCACGTTCCCCGGGGGCAGCTAGTCTCCTGCTTCTGGACCTCAGACCCTCGGCCTGCGTGAAGAGCCTCCTTGTTCTGAAGTCAACCAGACTCCCTTCGGCTGCATTTTTTCCAAAGGCGCTAAAATAACATCGGTTAAAGTGATAATTACAGACAGGTTCCTGACGTTGGCCTTTGTTTCTCAAGGCCCTGTTGAGATTGGGAAATGTTATTTCTCAGATCCTTGGGAGAAAATCAGAGATTACTAGTATCTTTGAATTCACGTGTCTCTTTTGGTGCCATGGAGGCTCCGGGGCTGTGAGTCTGAGGGCCTCGTGCCATGCTCGTCCCTGCTCGTTCCTCTGGTCCCGTTGGCTGCAGAGGACCCGGGGGCCAGGCGGGCCGAGCCCTGGATGGGACAGTCTCTGCAGGGGGGGAGACTGAGGCCCGGGGAGGGGGGTGCCCCCATGGCTGGTGCTGCCGCCGGAGCTGGGGTATCGGGTGCCTTTCCTTCTGAGGCTGATGTCCTCAGGACGCAGAGCTTCTAGCCACCCCTGGGACCCCCCACTCACGCATGTGCCCGTGCCTGCTGAGTCACAGCAGGGGCCTGGGTGCCCTGGGAGGGACAGCACTCTTCTGCCTGCCTTGGGGTCTGGGTCTCTTTCACGGCGGTAGTCCTTCCCACTTCCGGTCCCCTAGGCCGGGAGCAGACTGATCACATAGTGGTGTTTGGTTAGAGGATCTGGCCTGGCCAGCCCTCGGGCTCCTGGCTGCTGCGTGAATAGCCTTCCCCCGCCTTCTGCAGGTGCCCCGGGCCTGGCCTGCCGACCCGAGCCCCCCACCCAGCAGGCTGGTGAGCCCGCGTCCTCTGGCCTGCCTGCCGCCTGGTGGCCTTCACCCCAGCTCTCGTTCACCCAGCCAGCCTCTCTGCCCGAATCTGGGCGGTCCTGTGCCACCTGGACACACAGACAGCTCAGTCTGGTGGGGGCGCCTGGGGCCCCTGGAGGTGTGCGGGGGAGGGGAGGCTTTCAGAGCGGGGGCGACACTCAGGGAGGGCATGGTGGCAAGTGTGAGTGAGGAGGCCCGGCTCCTGCCGCTGGGCTCACGTCCCAACGCAGACTGGAGATGGGAAGTCCCTTCTCACTCGTGTGAGGCCCCAGGGGGTGGGGGGTACACAGGAGGCTGGTTTGCGGCTGACCCAGCGTCCCCGCAGAGCGGGCCGGGGCTGCCCCCCAAGCCAGAGCCTGGGAGCGGAGGGCTGTGTTGGTCATGTGCTAGTTCCTTCCACACTGCTTATGGCCGAAAACCCAGGTCTTGGCGGCTGCTTTTGTGTAATAGGGTGAGTTGTCCCTCCCAGAATGAGATCCCAGATGCAGGTGGTCCAGGTGTCCAGGGCGCCGTCAGCACCTCGGTCCCTCACTCATCCTCTTGCTAAAACAGCTGCCGGCACCCCAGCCATCACATCCACATTCCAGGCGGGAAAAGGGGGAGGCCCGAAGGTGGACGGTCTCCACTGCAGGAGAGCAGGACTAGGCCTGGGCGTCCCCAGCAGAGCCGTCTACACACTGGCCGTGCCCCCAGGTGAGCCGGGTGGGTGTTGGTGCTTCTCTGGGCATCACGTGGACAGAGTCCTCTCGCCTGGCCCTCACGGCACTGATCCCGTTGCCTGGGTGTCTGAGCTGCCCACGGGGAGCACTTCCTGGTTACTGCTGGGCGCATGGAAGCGCAAGGAAAGGGTCCGCAAAGCGGTCAGGAAGCTTCCAGAGGCCTGACTCCTCGGCGCCTGGGTGCAGGTAGACGTCCAAAGGCCAGACCAGAAGGTGGCCTGTGGTCGTGCTCCGGCTCAGCCCTTCGGGAAGGGAGGGGCCGGCGCTGGCTTCTTAGCAGGGCCTCCGTGGCCATGTGGTCACCCGCTGCCTCCGTGTGTGGCTGACGGGTGTGACTTCCTGGTGGGTGGAGGTCATGGAAAAACGGCCGGAGACCTGGGAGTGTGTGGGGGCCCAGGGGCCTCGGGGAAGGTCGCTCGCAGACTGGCCCTGAGTGTCGGGCGGGCTTGTCCAGACAGGTGCACGGTCCCCGAGGCCACGGTTTATACGTGTTAATGCAGTCAGGTGTGCATCACAGGTGTGTAAGTAAGTGTGTGCACACGGGGTACGGAGACCTGGACCGAGGTGGGCACGGCTGTGCGCGTGTGGGTACGTCCGCACACTCTGGGGAGGGCCCGCTGTAACCTGCCAGGTTGTAGGTGGTGGCCCCCTGTGCTCCAGGGTGACCGGAGGGGGTCTTCCCCCTGTGTGAGTGCCTTGAGGAGGGGTGTGAGGGGAGGGGATGTCGAGGGGGGAGGCTGTGTGTGTGTGCCAGGGAGGGATTGTTT